TTGGGGGTGGGCACTAGCGGCAAAGGGGCACTTCTATGGTGACTGACAAATACTAATGTACAACTGAAATTTCACAATGTACTAAAGTATTATGACCTCAATAAAAGAAAAATGAGGTCCTTTGGGACACCTAATCCAATATGATGGGTGTCCTTATAAAAAGAGGAAATTTGGTCATGGAGACACACACACATACACACACACACACACACACACAGGGGAAAGACGATGCGAAGAGACACAGCAAGAAGGCCACGGGAAGATGGAAAATTGGCATGACTCATCCACAAGCCAAGGAATGCCGAACATTCCAGGCAAACCACCGGAAGCGAGGAAGAGACAGGGAAAGATCCCCCCTACAGATCTCAGAGGGAGCATGGCCCTGCCAACACCTCGACCTTGGACTTCTGGCTTCCAGACCTGTGAGACAAGAAAGCTCTGTTGTTCTAAGCCACTCATTTTGTGTACTTTGTTATGCTGGCCACAGCAATCTAACACACCAACTAAGACAGAGGTCAGAGGCTAAGTTGAGTATTGGGGTACCAGGTCGTCACATCCCCTCAACCCATCCCTCTCAGCTTTAATCTGCTTTACATACAGGATTTCTGCACATGATTTTATTTGAAAAGACATGCCCAGAGTGACAAAAGCACTTTCATTTTACGAGCTGGGGATAGAAACTGAGGTCCACAGAGGTGTAGGACTTGCCCAAAGTCACCCAATGACTCAGCAGCAGTCTGAGACAACAGCACAAGTTTTCTGGCTGCCATTTTGTTTTCTTTCCTTTCACCACTCATCTGCGGTGAAGGCCCAGCCAGCGTGAGGTTAGGACACAGGAAGTTCCATGTGTTCATGGTGGGCGCCATTTTGCATGGCTCCACTTCAAAAGCTTTTTTGCCCCCGTTGGGCCCCATTTTCACCACTGCTCTGAGACTAGAGGATGGTGCCCTCATTGCATCAAGCACCCAGGCTTGCCCAAGGCCAAGCGGGCACAAGGGCTGGCCTGCCCCTCCCAGCAGTGACCTTATGGAACGCCCTTTCGGCAGAGGTGAGCGGCGGGTGGGAGCTGGCAGAGCAGGCCCGGGGCACAGGGTCAGGCCCTGATAACCCGAGATCAAAGCGGGCTGTCAGCAGTGTCAGCTGAGAGGCAGCCAAGACAAGCGGAGCGGGCAGCTTTATCTCCCCACTGGCCCAAGAGCCGGGCGGGGAAAGCACCACAGTTCCCGGAAACTATTTCTGGCTGGGCAGGAGGGAGCTAATGGAGCCTGGCTCATTCCAGGTTGGCTCAGGGTCTGTCTCCTGCCCTCTCCTGCACCACACATGGTTTGCTCTGGTCTCACGTTTGGGTTTTTTCCTGTTCTTTCATCCATCACTTTCCATTTTCCTACCTACATGTGCGCGCACACACCATAAAGATTGTTCTTCTCGCGCCTGAAACATTTCCATTCCTGCTCTGGACAGACAGAGGAGGGCTGCCGGCCTTCTCACCCCCACTGCCAACACACACAGCTGCCTCCTCTCCTCCCGGACTTGTCCATTCTCACATTCACAGACGTACAGCTTTCTCCCACCTTCCCTTCCACACACGTGCGTTCACACGCACTCACACACCCGCACACTCACACCTGCCTGGCTTACAATTTCCAAACCCTCTTGAACAAGAATCCAGAGACAGCTGCCAATTAAAACAATCACAACTCCTTGCCTTCCTTTCAGTTGTTATGAACCCAGGGACCATTTCCACCAGCCGATGCCTGGACTTTTTGTTTTTTTTGCAAGGTGTTGACCCCTTCGTTTGCAGCTGGAAGAGACTCAGCCCCAGCTCTTGCTCCAGCTGTGGCCTCTGTCAGCTGAGCAGCTCACAGCTGGCCGGTTTCAAACCCGTCCATTGTAAGCCAGTTATCTCAGCACTTTGAAAAAGGAAAGGAGGGGATCTACCCTCCCAACATATTATCTGAGAGATTCCAGAACCTTCCATATACCAAAAGTTTGAATTTCCAGGGCCGGCCCCTTGGCCAAGTGGTTAAGTTCACGCACTTGGCTTCAGCAGCCCAGGGTTTCACTGGTTGGGATCCTGGTCACAGACCTAGCACCACTCATCAGGCCATGCTGAGGCGGCATCCCACACAGCAGAACTAGAAGGACCTACAACTAGAATATACAACTACATACTGGGGGGGCTTTGGGGAGATGAAGAAGAAGAAGATTATCAACAGATGTTAGCTCAGGACCAATCTTTAATAAAAGAGTTTGAATTTCCTTCTCTCCCCTTGAACTCACACCTGATCCCTTCAGCAGTTGTCCAGACTGGCTGCAGGAAGACAGCAGGAGAGGGACATCCACAGACCTGCTACTTTCTGCCTTTAGCACCTGTAGGCTTCAGACTTTCATCAGAACAGCCTGGCCGGCAAGAATGGGGAGACGGGGCAGGAAGGCGAGGAGATAGTTCAGGGAGTCATGCCATTGCCCGGAGGCAAAGGGAAGGAAAGGAGTATGTATGGAGCCCCTGCTGTGTGCTGGGTACTCACTTCCTCCCTGTGCTGGGAGATGTCTTTGGAGGGCTGTGGGCCCTGCCCTTAGCACAGTGCCTGGGACATAGCAAGCACTGAATATCATGCAAATATGTTTCTCTCTTGTGACCCCCATGGTAACGCTGTGCAGTGGATATCCTCATTTTGGAAATGAGGAAAATGAAGCTCAGAGGGGTTTGGAGACAACCACCTACACACAAGCCATAAATGCCAGAGCCAGTATATCCCTCCCCACTCTTCCCGCCAGGCAGGCAGCAAGGTGGTGGACTGGGGAAAATTGTGTTGCATCCTTTTGCTTTTTCCACAGAATGATGCAAAATCCTGGTTTCAGAAATGTGTTTTTTCTAGCTTCTTTCAGGCCTGGCTGAATCAAAATTTCTAAGCATTGCATCTGAAAGGGCTCATACAGACCCTCGTGACCCAATCTCTCATGTTAGAGATTAAAAGCAAACTCATCAAGGGGGAGCGTGGAGAAGCTGTGAAATTTTTACCTCGCCTGCATCCATATTCTTTATCCAGGTAAGAGCATCTCAAGGTTGCTTTGGAAAAGCAAACTTTCTTTTACTGGGCATCATCAAAGTGGAGCTGCCAATCATGACGTCACAACCATAGGGCGGGCTTATGACCCAAGCTCTGCCAATCATATGCGTCCTCCCAGGAATTTACATCCTTAGCAAGGACTAAAGACGCTCATTCGCGTCTTCAGCCGAGTCCCTGAATTCCTGCTACCCAGCTTCCCTTGCTCCTATTCATTCAGAGACCTTGTTCTTCTATCCTTCCAGTAAATTCCTTCTTTGCATTAAGTTAATGAAAGTCACTCTCTGCTGCTTGCAATCAGGGAATTCTAAGCGATACAGGAAGGCATCCAGCTAAGCTCACCCAGCAAAGGAGAGGCAGAGTAGAGACTAGAACCCACTTCTGATTCCCACTCTGTTACTTCCTCTGGGGCCTGGAAGGCTTCTTTCTTTCATCCTCTGTATCACTTAATACCTCTGAGCCTCATTTCCATACCTGACAAATGGTGATATTACGTCAAACACTATGAAATCGCAAGTTTTATAGGTCAAAAAATGAACAACTAGGGGCTGACCCAGTGGCACAGTGGTTAAGTTCACATGCTCCGCTTCATCAGCCCGGGGTGTGCAGGTTCAGAGCCCAGGCACGGACCTAGCACTGCTCATCAAGCCATGCTGTGGCAGCATCCCACATAAAGTAGAGGATGATTGGCACAGATATTAGTTCAGTGACAATCTTCCTCACAAAAAAGTAAAATAATTCAAAAATGAACAACTATATTGGCAATATCATATTAAAGGTGTCCAGATTCCAATTCCAATTTGTGGGAGGTAGGTTTTCCCACACCAACAAGCAATTCTTCAGACAGCAGCTGGGCGTCCTACAATTTAATTCAATTCTGACTCTATCTACCCGGAGACAGCATCAAATCCCACATATCTCACACCACTGCCTGCCCCCGACCCCTTCAGATGCCAGCTGAAGCCCAGGTTGTTACCGGTGCTTGGACGGACTGGCTATAAACCAGAGGTTCTGTGGCCGCCTCCTTGGGTTCAATTAATTTGCTAGAGAGGCTCACAGAACTCAGAAAACCTGCTCACTCGCTAGATGATCATTTTATTATAAAAGAACATAAGGCAGGGACAACCAGAGAGAAGAGATGCATAGGCGAGCGTATGTAGGAAAAGGCGTGGACTTCCATGCTCTCTGAGCACCGCTCTCCCCCAATCCCCGCGCTTTCACCAACCTGGAAGCTCCCTGAACCCCCTCCCGCTGAGTTTTTATGGGGGCCTCATTACATGGACAGAATTGATTAAATCATTAGCCCTTGGCGATGGATCTCTATCTCCAGCCCTTCTCCCCTCCCTGGAGGTCATAGGGGTAGGACTGAAAGTTCCAACCCTCTAATCACGTGGCTGGTTCTCCCAACAACCAGCCCCCATTCTTAGATGCTCCCAAAAGTCACCTCCTTCACATAACAAAAGACACCTTTATCACTCTCATCACTTAGGAAATTCCAAGGGTTTTAGGAGCTCTGCGCCACAAACAGAGATGAAGACCGAATACAGACTTCTTATAAACGACAATATCCCCGTCCTACCAATTTAGCAACCTCAGCCGAAAAGGTGCTCCCATTTCTTAAGCATCCTTTTAAAAGTCCCAGGAATGAATCTCATTGTCCTGGCTTATGTCACATGGCCATCCAATCACTTTGGCTTGGTGAACTTGCAGACCTTGTGCCCTAGACCTTGGGGAGGGAGGGTCAGCCTCCCCCTATAATCAGAAGACACAGAGCAGAGGAAGAGCGGTTTCCAAAGGGGAAATTGGGGTGAGCTACACAAAAGGAGGACCCTGAGCGGGAAAAACTGTAGACGCCCACTATGTATGTGCTGCTGGTTCACACGTGCTCAGCAGCCTGGTTAAATGCACATTTATGATCTGGGTCCTACGTACCTGCATTCAAAACCTGGCTCCACCACTTTCCAGACCTTGGGCAAATGGCGATCTCACTAAATACAGGTCAGTTTTCTCATCTGTAAAGGAAATAGAAAACTAGCATAGCTCACAGATTTATAAAGATTAGAAAGAATGCAAATATAACAGATCTGTGACAGAGAAGGTGATAAATACAGTCGATATGGTTACTTTGAAAAATATCGGTTCTCAACACCCATAAATATCCTAACTCCCGGCTTCCAGAGGAGATTCTCTTGTCTTTCTCTGTCCTATTTCTTCCTCATTTATATGTGGCTTTGCCTTTTTTTCCTTGCATAGATTAAATAAACACACACACACAAAGTCCAACTCAAATAATGGCATTCGGATAAAATAGAGAAGGACGCAAAGATCTGTGGAACTCATTTATATTTAACTGTGTGCAGCCAGAGACTCGTGTAGTGGAAAATAGGCAAGGAGGCTTGAAGGAGGAAAGAGGATATTAAAATTGTAATTTTCCCAATCATATCGAGACATCTCTACCTGCCCGAATGACAGGATGCACAGTACATCTCTCAAAAGCTGTGCCACATCTCCAAGCCAGCACCAAATAAATTGAGTTTCTGCTCAGTGACAGTGGAGGCTGAGGTTGCTGTCAGCTTTGTTCCAATTTTTTTCCTTTTCTTTTTCTCTTCGAGGTGTTTTGTGTTTGTTACAATCTTTGGGATTTGCTCGTGTTTTATCTTTCTCATTCTTCCGCGTTCCACGAGAGTTGGCTAGGAGCTCAGTCTGCCTGTACCAGAAAAGTCTACCATAAAGCTTCCAGTGGCCCCGCATGGGCCCCAGGATACAGTATAAAGTCAATTAATCAGCCCCTGTGGGTCCACCTGGATGGTGACGTCCCCCGTAGAGCTCATTTCTAGTCCTTTTTCAAGTGGTCCATGCTAGAGGCCAAGATTGGTTAGGCAGGGGCCGGCTCCGTGGCCGAGTGGTTAAGTTCGCGCGCTCCGCTGCGGCGGCCCAGGATTCAGATCCTGGGCGCGGACGTGGCACCGCTCGTCAGGCCACGTTGAGGTGGCGTCCCACATCCCACAACTAGAAGGACCTGCAACTAAGATATACAACTGTGTACAGGGGGGGTTTGGGAAATAAAGCAGAAAAAAAAAAAATTGGCAACAGTTGTTAGCCCAGGTGCCAATCCTTAAAAAAAAAAAAGGAAGATTGGCAACAGTTGTTAGCCTAGGTGCCAATCTTTAAAATAAAAAAAAAAAAGGACTGGTTAGGCAGAGGAACGCTGTGATTTGGCGTCCTAAGTGGTATGTGGTGGAACTGACATTGGCCAATGGGGGCTGGCGAAATCTACGGCCAATGGGTGTGAGAACGGCACAACCTCAGGAATACATTTGGGCTCTTCCTTGGGCCTCAAGAGCCTAACTTGGAAGCCCAATCTATGATGATTTTTAGTTTGAAGCTGGTTCTTGGAATTTCTGCTGACATCAGGGGAGCCCCACTAATCAGCATCACAAGGGGGTTCTTGGCTGGACTTATTGATGGAACCCCACCATGCTGGTGCCCACTTCGCCCTCACCCACATACCTCAAGGTGTGGATCTCCTTTCTGCCTTCCAGGGCAAGGCTAGGGCAGCAGCCCCAGAGAGACAAGAGAGAGTGAAGCCTGGAGACGGAATTAACACACTGAAATCTCACATCCCTGAATGGATGGGGCATTCAAGAATGGAAAATCTGAAACTAAGTCAGAGGAACTTGGGATCAACTAGACTCAAGAAAGAGATAGCAGACGAACTCTTTAAAATACTTTCCAAGCCAGTGGCAAGAGATGAGTGTGGACAGGGAGACGTGGGCCAGATCTGGAAGGCTTTGGACATTATCCCGTGCACACGTGGGAGCCACGGAAGGGTTTAGAGCAGGACAGTGATGATCGGATTTGAATTTCAGGAGATCACTCGGGTTTGGAGGTGAAGAATGGATGGAGGGGGAAAGAGTGGAAGCGGTCGACCAGTTAGACGGCTCCTGTGGAAATTAAGGTAAGAGAGGGAGGTGGTTTGAGCCAAGACATTGGGTAGAAAATGGAGACGAGTCAACAGTTCCAAGAACTCTTCAAGCAATAGGATTAGAAAGGTTGAGAGTTCCAGGCAAGGGAGACAAGGGGTGAGCACCTGAAAAGGCTCCACTCTACAGAGAGCTAGTCTAAACTATTCCACCTACCCTTAGCTTATCTAACACGAGGGCCTCATGAAATCTTTTTTTTTTTTTAACTGAGTTCACGGACCTATTGTTTCTATGTGTCCCTGTCCTTGTGCATAGTGCTTGATGTGGCAGGCCCTGAAATCAGACAGCCTGGGTGTGATCATATCCTGTAGGGTCTTCATTAGAAGCAAGTAGAGACTGGATGCATTTAATGGTTCTCTTTGGCGATCTACTTAGGAGGTGGGAAGAATTAAGGGATGAGATTTGGAAGGCTCCAGAGTGTTTAGCAAGCTAATGTCCTGATCCAAATAAGAAAGGACGTGATCTAAATGCAGCCCACGGCAGTGAAGTCAAGACGGCAAAGCTCTGATGGAGAGACACTGTTCTATGCAGAGAGAGAAAAAATACTTTCCGGATCTCAAAGCTTATAGTTAATATTGAAGAACCACTGACTAGTCCCCTGCCCTCTAGGGAAAAGCACGCTCATTTGCCTGTGTGTCTTCAAACGCCAACTGATGGATGGTACAAGTTGCTAAGGTTGTTCCTCCAGTGGGTCTTATCTAACAGATAGCCTAAGGCTGAGCAGAGCAGGAGCTAAAGGAGTGCGTGGTGGGTAAGTTCATCATGCTGGAGTCAATTAAGAGCTCGCAACTCAATCCAGTTGACAAATTGAAACATTCCACACGGACATTGACCATCCTCCACAAGTAGGATGACCCACCATCCCAGTCTGCCTGGGACTTTCAGTGCTAAAATGGGGACAGTCCCAGGCAAATTAGGATGAGTTGGTCACCCTACCCATGAGTCCCACTCTGAACTCATGCCTCCATTTTGAATAGTATATTGTTTTCAATGGCAATCTCAGAAAACATATTAACCAAATTGGGGTCAATTTTATTGTGAAGAAAAGAAAATCAATTTGTTCATTTACATCCATTCTATCCATCTTTTCCAAGGGAAAGGAAATTGGTATAGCCACAGTGGTTAAGAGGGCCCGCTCGGAAGTCAGCTACAATGGGTTCAAATTCTCGATTTCCTCCATAAAATGGGAGCGCTCCTAATTCATGCCTCATATGTAAGAAAATGTATGGAAAGTGCTGAACACCATGTCTGGCTTGTAGTAAGTATTCAAAACCCCGAGCTGTTATTATTAGAACTTTCCATCTAACTCCACCCCAACCCCAATCCTCTGGATCACAAGCCACTTAGAGCCTTTAATCTTTCTCTTGGCATTTCCCATTTGACACAGGCTTTGAGGAGCTTCTGCAATTCATCCCATTACAGGGGGCCTTAACTGACAGAGTCCACTTACAAAGTTCCTCTTTGCAAATTTGTAACTGAGAAGATTTAGAAAACCTTTGACCAAACTGACTGACATGATTGAATATGAAAGAAAAGCATAGCAGTCGTGTCTTTCCTTCAGAAGGAATGGGTTATCTCCCGGGGTAGGGAGTTTTCTAAGCCCTGAAGATGTTTGTTAACTGAGATAATGCATATAAAAAGCTCAACGCTTTGGTCAAAACAATGCTACTACCATATCATCTCTGCCTGAACAATTACAGCAGCCTCCCATCTGCTCCACGCTTCTGCTTTTTCACCCAAGAATTTATTCTCCACCCTGCAGCCAGAGGGATTTTTTGAAAACATAAGGCGCCTCAAATCTGGAAACTGCCCAGGTGTCCATTCACAGGAGAAAGGATAAACTATGATATATCCATATCCATACAAAGAAATACTACCCCGCAAGAAAAAAGAAATTACTGATACAAAGTATAGCTGAGTGAAGGAAGCCTTCCACAGGACCATACACTGTATGATCCCATTTATATAAAGTTCTGGAATAGGCAAACTAACACGGTGGGAAAAATCAGAATAGTAGTTTCCTGGGGGCAGGGCGGCAGGGGCTGGGGGTGGGGACGGAGGCGATGATGATATCCTCTATCTTGATATGGGTTTGAGTTGCACAGGTATGTCAAAAATTTGTCAAAATTCAAAGAAAAAAATCCAAAGAAGATAAGATTCGGGCATTTCACTGTATGTAAATTTCCTTCTAAGGAAATCCATCAACAAATCTTGAAGTCTAGTTAGTGATTTGCACACGGAAGTGTTCGGGGATGAGGTAACCGGTATCTGGGACTTACTCTGAAATGCAACAACACAATAAGGTGAATTGATGAGGACAGAGGGATGAATAAATGAGGAGAGTGTGATAAAGCAAATAAACAAAATGTTAAGTGTAGGATCCAGTTGGTTGGTGTATGCGTGCTCCATATACAATTTTTCAACTTTTCTATATGCTTGAAATTTTTCAGAATAGAATTTGGGGGGGAGGGTAGTGGGAAGAGAGATATGTCACTCCTTTTTTACATAGCTTCCCCTTTAATTGATGCACTACCAAAGCCCTTGCGACATCTACAGGATCTGGTCCCCTCCCTGCTCCCAGCACTCCGGACTCATCTCCTGCCACCATTTGAATGGTGTCCCTTTCAATGGCGATTGCAGCCTCTCAACTACTTTACTTCCAGCCACTGTGGCCTCCTGCCTCTTCCTCAGACATGCCAACCTGGTCTGGCCTCAGAGCCTTTGCACTTGCCGTTCCTCCAAATTTCACAAGCTTGATTCCCTGACTTCTTCAGGTCTCTGCCCCAATGTCACCTCCTGACTACTCTAAATAAAATAGCACTTCCTTCCTCCCATCACTCTATCCTTCTGCCTTTTGTACATGTGTGCTTCATCGCCCACGGATGCAATAGTAATTTTATTGTCTATCTCCCCTCACGGCAACGTGGGCACTTTGCTTTGCTCCTTGTGTTGCGCCAGCACCTACAATGGCACGTGGAAGATACAGCGCTCAATAAGCACTTGTATAAATGAGTGTGATGCTGACACCACCAGTAGTAATCTTAACCGAGTACTGTCATGCTGCATAACGACCTTTCAGTCAACAACGGGCCACATATACAATGGTGGTCCCGTAAGATTAGTACCATACAGCCTAGGTGTGTAGTAGGCTGTCCCATCTAGGTTTGTGTAGGTACACACTATGAGGTTAGTGCAATAACAAAATTGCTTAACAACGCATTGCTCAGAATGCATCTCCTTCGTTAGGCGACACAAGACTATACTTGGTAATTGTGCTGTACTAAACCATTTACTTCTGTTGTCTCTTTTAATCCTCACAACAAGTCTACTGCTGCTTTTACAATTGAGAAAAATCATAGTTTAGAAAGATTCGGTGATTTATCCAAAGACAAATGTCAGGGCTGGGAGAGTCCAACCCAGTTCTTTTGGTTCCCAAAGCCAGCAATCGGTTCACCTTGCCACAGGGCAGGGAGGGTCTAGAAAAGGACGACAAATGGGAAAGAATGTGTCAGCTGTCACCAGGGCTGCCCTAACGGTAGACAGAAAGACCAGGGGCCAGTAGATGTGGGGACATCAGACTGTCAATCATCAAACTTCCAATGACACCTGGTGTCCCCTGTCCCCAGTTTTAAGGGTCAAACGGGCTGACCAGCATTACCAAGCTTCCAACTTGATCAGGTCTCCTACAACAAGGCCCGTGTTAATAAATCTCCTTTCAGTTGCAAAGATGACCTTAACCTCCTTATCAAATGTAACTCTTGTGCGTTTCTCCTTACACATGGGCTGTATCTATTGACCCTAACACAGAGCACATTTTTAGGAAACATATCACACTTCTCATCCAGGAGCATGAATGTCCATTGTGCAATATTTTTACAAGTGCTCCAAAATGTTCGTTTTCTCCAGGATTAACTAGTCCCCATCTGACATCAGGTTCAATATGCGAAAAAAAAAAAAGTCAAAAACTTCTGCAGTTATTCATAGATGATCAGTCAGTGAATGGGCATTCAGGAAGTCAGGGGCACTTCGACTGCTGCCACACATGTGCAGCGAGCATCTGCCATGTGCCAGACATTGTACCGGCACTAGGGGACAAGGGGGTGAGGAGTGTAGCATGTTCCCTGCAGAGCTGGCCACTTACTGTGTGACCTTGGCCAAGTTACTTGAACATTCTGAACCATAGTCGCCCCGTCTGAAAAGTAGATATAATGATACCTCCTTGAAATCGCTATTCTTGTCAGGAACACAAGAGACAATATGCGTAAAAGGGTCTAGCACCATGGCCAGGACGCAAGAGCCCAGGAAAAGGATGCTAGTTCCATGCCCACGTCTCCCTTCCCCGCTCCCTCACACTTCAAGGAGCCCCTGAGACATACTTGGGTAATTCTGACTTCTAGGCAGACGGGGTGAAGTGCTCTGAGCAAGAAACTGACCAAGGGTATTTAATTCTATGCCTAGGGATACTCACAAAGGAGGTATGTTTGTCTCAATGTTACAGATGCAAAAACTAAAATTCAGAAAGAATAAGTAACTTGTCCAAGATAATACAGTTTTGAAGTTTTAGAAACCTCCTAGTTCTTGTTTTGTTTGTTTTATGGTCGAGAGAGATGGACTCCAACTGAGGAAATCCAGGAAGTCTGCTCGGAGGAGATAGCAATTTCAAGAGTCTGTCTTCGCAGTGTGAATATCTGTTTTCTCTAATACCAAACTTGGCATCCCCCTAGGAGGCTGCATCCTGGATTCCACAACCCAGAGCTCTGCCACTTTCTTTCCGGCTTTGGCTTTTGCCACAGCGGGCATCAGCAAAGAGTCCCCTCCTCTGAACACAAGGCAAACATTCAGAATCACCAGGATCTCCACCCAACGCCATGCCTGCCCCTCCCCCAATGGCCCCACATCTAAAGAGATTTGAGAAAGAAACACTCTGCTCTAAAACCCTTTGAGAACTGCCTCCCACTGGTTGGTCATGTCAGACCTACTTTTTGTCATTTGGTGACAAGGTTTAAAAAGGAGTGGGGGGAGGAATCCAGCAAATATTAAGACTTCATCCTCAGGATGGATGACCCACCACGCTTCCATCTAAAATATGTGCATTCTGGTTATTTAGAATTACCTGTTTGTTTGGGAAGGATTTCTTCTCTTCCTTCCTCGTCTCCTAGCCGTCTCTACGGTGAAAAGGACGAAGCTGGGCGTGTAAGATTTTTTTTTTTCCCTCGGCTGTGTTTATCCACCCAAGAAAGTATTTTAAGTACTTTGTTTCCATTATGCTATTCTGAGCCCATTACTCGGTGGGGTGATTAAAGATTGCTTTTGGCAAGAGAAGAGAAGACCAAGTGTTTGTTACTTCCACGACTGTTAGCCTTTCCCAGGCAGTCTTCAAAGGGAAAAACGTAAACACATGGCATACAAAATACATATTGGCTTCATGAGGGGAGCCCTGGAGAATGTCTGGTCCTTCACGTTTGCCTGGAATCTGAATAGCTGGGACAGGAGGCATGAAAAGCGCCCTTTCTAGGGCATCTTGGAAGCTACTGACCTCTGGGGTCCTTCTGTCTTCCTCTTTGCCTGCGTGTTCCTTGAGCTTTTTCCCTTGGCTGGGGTCTTGTTGGGAACTTCCCTACCCTTCCACCGGTGTTTCAATCCAGCCATGGACAAGACATGTGGGCTCTCCGCTTTCATGGGGCTTAGTCTTCCAGCGTGGTCCGGACGTTATCCAAAGAACCTCTCAGGTAAGTTTCCAAGCGGTGATAAGTTTCGCGATGGAGAGGTACAGGGCGTATCCTGGGCACTCGAGTAGGAATCTGAGTTTCTCTTGGGGTCAGGGAGGACTTCCTTGCATGTGCAAATCTGAAAGATAAGCAGAAGCTGGGGAGGAAGAAGTCTTCCAAGCAAAGGCAGTGAGGCACGGTTTATTCAAAGGGAAAGAAGGTGGGGCGGCTGGAAGCCAGGGAACAAGTAGCTAGAAATGTAACAGGAGGTCGGGGAGGCTGGGGGAGCCCTCCCCAATAAGCAGATAGTGGGTGCTAAATACAAGTTAGTGAAAATAGGAGTGAAAGGAGGAAGCATCGTTTACAATAGTCTCTGCTTGCTTTTTGTTTTTTTAAGATTGGCACCTGAGCTAACAACTGTTGCCAATCTTCTTTCTTTTTTTTTCTGCTTTTTCTCCCCAAATCCCCCCGGTACATAGTTGTGTATTTTTAGTTGTGGGTCCCTCTAGTTGTGGCATGTGGGATGCCGCCTCAGCACGGCCTGATGAGCGGTGCCATGTCCACACCCAGGATTCGAACCAACGAAACCCTGGGCCACCGAAGCAGAGTGTGCAAACTTAACCACTCGGCCACGGGGCCAGCCCCTCTGCTTTCTTAACAGCTGAGTGGTCCTTGGGCAAGAAATTTCACTGCTATAAGCCTCCATTCCCTCATCTGTCAAATGGGTATCATCAGTTCTACCTCCCAGGGTCTGCGGTACCCAGGTGGAACTCAATAAATGTTAGCTTCCTTGTTCCTTTCCAATTATCTTTAATGAGTTCGACTTTCCTCGTTTCACTTAGCATCTTGGGAGACTTGAATGAAGTGGAAAAACCCCATCACCATCTCAGATCGATCCCTCATTTGAATGAATGCCCAAGACTTGACAGTCCCCTGGTGACAGTCCTCCTGGCCAGGGGACCTCACTGCTTGCAAGGTTGTGGTAGTCACTCATCCTCCATCCCTCCCTTCAGATGGTCTCTTTGAAGCCAGCAACTGATCTCTCCGCAGGATCTTGGGGACATTAGCATCCGCCTGGCCTATCTCCCAGACTATTGTGACAAGCAGATGAGATAAAGCATGGGTGAGGTCTTCAGAGGCTCCATAAAGCCCAGGCTGGGGGAGGAGGAGACACTGCCTTGATCTAAATAGGGTTACAAGTTGCACAAATGCATTTTCCCTGAACTCGCTCCTTTAAGTTGAGGGCCTCTCAGATTCAAAATGGCACCTGCAAGTTCGGACATGTCCAGAGCGCTTAATACGTCTGGGAATCTCTCTCTTCTGGAGCCAAGTGGGCAGCTTCAGAAACTCCAACTGCTCAGGCGGAGGGAAAGCACTGGCGGGGCAGCCCATGTGCGTCCTCTGCTCCGAGACCTCTTGAGTGCTGGCGCCACGCTCTCTCCTTTCAGACACCCCTCTCCATTTCATCGTCCCCGCAACCTGGGGGACAGGGATTGGCCCTGGGGTTCCCATTTTTACAGATTTGATCCACAGGGAAGTTCAGCAACTTGCCCACAGCCTCGGTTATGAAATGCAAGAACAGAACTCCTGATTCTGAACACTCACTGTTCTTTACTCTTCAATGGTGTCCTGATGGCTATTTAGGACTCTCCTCCCTCCACCCCCCGGATGCAATTACCTGGGACCCAGGGAATCACTCTAGGACTGGTCAGGTCAATGGGGGCCTCCAAGTGGGGGTCTCTGCTTTGATGGCTGAATTTGGGTTTCTGGAGACTCCCAGGCTCCTGGCAGTTAACCGACACCTTCTGTCTAGTCCTTCCATAACTGGTCTTCTTCCAATCTCGATTCTTCTGTGAAGCTCACTATAGTTCTAGAAAGTATGATCACCATCATAATCACCACAATTGGCTCTATTTATTAAGCACTTGCTAAGTGCTAGGCATTGAGCCAAGAGTTATGCATTTATTTCTTCCTGTGATGAATTTAAGAATTTTACAAAATGGCTATTGTATCATCATGGCCATTTCACAGACGAGAAAACTAAGGCTCAGAGAGGGGAAAATCTTCACCCAAAGACGCAAGCTAGTAAATGGCAGAGCCAAATCTGAAATTCACTCTGGCTGACCCCAGGCTTTCAGCCCCCACACATTGCCTGCTTTTCTGCCTCCACACTTTGACAAAGGTCTCTGCTCAAAAAGACTGTACCAAAATCCAGTAAAATCCCACCCAGCCAAACCCTGAGGCCCAATCCAGGCTTGCAGGTCCCCCTCCATCTCTGTCCCCAGGCCTCAGTTTCCCCACCTGTGGAATAGGGAACTGGACTAGATGAGCCCGTAGGTCCAGCTCAAGTCTGGACAACTAGAACTCCATACAGGAGCAGCAGCCCCCTTGTCTCCAACCCCATCCCAGTCCTGCATCCTCCTCAGAACATTTCTCTCTTCGTAGGGAAGACGGGTGAAGACTTCTACAAATTCACCCTGTTTCTCTTGCTGACTTCCAAGAGTGAGGGGAGAAGGTCTGAAGTCACAGCTGGGCTCCTTTTGGCCCCACCGCACACACCCTGGGCTCCCTCTCGGGCTCTTCCCATTCTGGGAGCCTACCTTGGCTTTTTCCTGCCTGAAATTTTCCCTCATTTGACTGGCATGAGAGTCCAGACACTGAGGTTGCAATCGGAGTCATAATCTCCAGGAAGTCGGCGCCATCTTGACTGTGAGCCTTGAAAAGATGTAGATCCAAGTCTTTAGAGCCAGAGCGAGCTGGGTTCAAATCCCAGTACTGCCACAAACTAGCTGCATTTTCCTTGTCCCTGTGACAGACAGTTATGGATTCAGCACTCATAAAGATCCTACTGTGTGTCTGGATCTGTGCTACAGGGCACAGTGTTGAACAGAGAAACAAGGTCTCCGCCATCTTGGAGCTTTCTAGTTGGAAGAGTAGAGCACGCAGGAGAGGTAGGCAGTGAGCAAATACGCATAAGATTTTCAGAGGTAAATAACACAAGGCAAAAATATGGGAAATAGTGGGGGACCAGCTTTTGATGGGCTGATCAGCAAAGGTCTGTGTAAGGAGAGGATAGTTGAGGGGAGTCTTGATCGTGGAGAGCACCATATGAAGGGCTAGAGAAAGCATCCAGGCAGAGGGAACAAAGGTGCTTGCTGGGCTTCAAGGTCAGAAGAAAGGTCAGTGTGGCTGAAAGGAGTGAACTAGGGGCATGCAGGAGCCAGATCACAGAGGACTTTGGAGGTCATAGTACAGAGTTTGGATTTTATTTTAGAGCCATGGGAAGCCACTGGAGAACGGTAAAAGAAACCGGTTTCACTTTTTCACAAAAGCACACTTTGAAGAAACTCTCCAATTCTTCCCAAGTGGCTGTACCATTTTGCATTCCCTCCAGCAGAGTATGGGTGTTCCAGTTGCTCCTCATCTTTGCCAACACTTGAAATGGTCAGTCTTTTTTCATTTTTGCCATTGTGTTGGGTGTGTAGTGCTGTCTCATTATGGTCTTTTTATTTTCCTGATGAATGGTGTTGAGTACCTTTTTATGTGCTTCTTGACTATTCCCACAGCTGCTTCTGGGAAGTGTCTGTTAAAATCTTCTGCCCATTTTTAAATTGAGTCATTTGTCTTCTTATTAGTGAGTTAGAGGACTTTTTTTAAGATTCTGGATACATGTCGTTTGTCAGATAAATGATTTACAGATACGTTCTCCCAGACTTTGGCTTTTCTTTTCATTTTCTTAACAAGGTCCTTCAAAGACCAGAAGTTTTAAATCTTGATAAAGTCCGATTTGTCATTTATTTTTATTCTACGCTTTATGCTTTTTGTGTCCTAACTAAGAAATCGTTGCCTACTCCAAGGTCACAAAGGTTTTCTGGTATGTTTTCTTCTAGAAGTTATACAGTTTTAAGTTTAGGTTTACCTTTATGTCATTTATATTAAAACGTTAGACATGCACTTACCATATATCTCAGCAACTCCGCTCTTAGATATCTGCCCAAGAAAAAAGGCGCATGTCCACAAAAACACTTACACTTGAATGTTCGTATCAGCATTATTCACAATAGACAAAAACTGGAAAAACCCAATGTCCATCTATAGGCGAATGGATATACTGCCATACTCCCATATAATAGAATGTTACTGGCCAAGAAAAAGGAACCACTGATCCATGCAACAATGAGGATAGCTCTCAAGACTACAACGCTGAGCAAAAGAAGCCAGACACAAAAGAGTTCGCACTGGATGCTTCCATTAATATGAAACTCTAGAAACGATCAAGCTCACCTATAGTGACAGAAAGTGGTCACTGGGGACAGAAAGGGACAGATCAGTGGTCCCTGGGGCCAGAGTGTACAGGTGGAGATACACAGGTGACTGGGAAGGGGCAGAAGGGAACTTTGGGGGTGAAGAAGAATGTTGTATATCTTGATTGTGTTGCTGGTTACAAGGATGCAGACATTTGTCAAAACTCATTGAACTGCATACTTGAAAT